CTTTGTATGAGTAAATGTGTTGTATTCCCTGGTGGTTGTTTGCTTGAATAATTTTATTATTTTTTTTTCAGATGACAATGTCAACTGGTATTCCAGTAGTGAAGAGGAAGAGGGGAGCAGTGTTAAATCAATACTAAAAACCCTAAAGAAACAGAGCGAAAATTTTAGGAATCGGCAACAACATTCCACAGAGCAGCACATGCTTGGTATTCCCACTGATCCCAGGCTGGCAAAAGACAAAGGCTCAGGGCCTCAGGCTGCTGACCCCAGACTGCGGGCCTCCCCGAGGTCCAACCCCAGAAAGCCTTCGGAGTCCGCCTCCTTGGACCCGCGGCTTGCACGAGATCCCAGGATGCACAAGGTCAGTGAGGGTGGTCACGCCAGCTCATCCCTCGGGGGAGCAAAGCTGGATTTGCACCACCAGCACACTGGAGTTAAAGTCAAGCAAAAAGGGATGGACGATGATGAAGAGGACTCAGAAAGAGAACTGAGGGAGCGAGCTTTTCTGATACCGCTGGAACCTTTGCCTGGTGTGACGCTGAGGGATCCCCGCTCTCAGCTCAGGCAGTTCAGCCACATTAAAATGGATGTCACCCTGATGAAACCCAACTTTGCCAAGCATATTGTATGGGCACCCGAGGACTTGCTCCCGATACCTTTGCCTAAGCCTGACCCCGTCTCGTCAATCAATTTACCTCTCCCTCCCCTCATTGCTGACCAGAGACTTAATAAAATGCGGAATTTGAAAGCCGATCCCCATCCCAACGCCATGCCAGCTGACCCACGGCTGGCTGCCAAGGCCAAAAACAACTTGACGGGCAGGAGCGGGTACTTGGATCCGTCTGCAGATTCACATGCCAGTAGCTCGAGCAAACTGGGAGACCCTCGCTTACAGAAAAACGTCGATCCCAGACTGCACAGACTGTCGGGTGCAGATACGCATCACGGAGCTGCAAAGGATTCCCACCCCCCAAAGTTTGACCCCCGCCTCGCCCGATCTGCCGCTGGCTCATCACAGCCCTCGGAAGCTGCAGCTGCTAAACCTGACCCAGAGGCTCTCCCTCCTTACGCGCCCAAATTGTCCTCCAGCGGCGTGAGGCTGGGAGCTCCGGGCTCAATACTGAGTGGTATCAGTTTGTATGATCCCAGAGATCACAGCTCGTCGGCGGATGCGGCTCCAGCCAGTTCAGGAGAGAACGGAGAGAACCAGAAAAAAAGTATTTTGAAAAATTCTGGTAAAAATGAACCCAGTCTCTCTGAAGATACGTCGCTGCAGAAGACTGCCCCGAGCGTGGAAAAAACCACAGAAGGATCAGCGGAAGCTACTTCAGATAAAGCAAATAGCACCAGTAAATCTCAGGCTAAACACTCCAGCGCCGCACCTGCGGTGCATAATCTTCCTATCCAAGCTTTATCGGGATTAATCAGACCACAGTACAGTGACCCGAGGCAGGTCAGACAGCCTGGACAGGTAACTCAGACACAGGATAATGATCCCAATGGGGAATCAGATGATAAGTCATTAAAAGATGTTTTCAAGACTTTTGATCCAACCGCTTCACCGTTTTGTTAGCAATTGATTTTAAGTCTTTTTACTGTTGTGAATATTGCAGTTTTCTGCTGTTTTGTAACTGGTTTACCTCTTTGCTTTATTTATTTTTAAATTATAATTATCAACACTTTGCAGCTGCTAATCTCAGAACCACATGCAGTTATACAGTACGCTATAGTGTTTGCAAAGCTGTGGTATTTTCTATATAATACTTTTCCAATTTCAGGGAGACTAATAATTGACATGTAGAAAAAAACCCCATGTATCGTGTTAGAGCTGATAAAAGCACTTTCATTGTAAATAAGTCATTAAGAAAGTCCGAGGAGCTGTATATGTGTGAGCTGTCTCTTTCATAAACAACATTTAGATATGATTGCCACATTTGTATGATTGTATAGATACAAGCAATATTATGTACATTACTGTGAGAGACACTGTTTAACGAGGACTGTCTGACGCATCAAGCCAAACCTACTAACTGATTTAAAACCTACGTAAATGATGTTAAAAGGAAAATGTTGATCCTCCTTTTCAGATCAGTTGATGTAAGACATTGACAGTTTTTATTCATGCAGTCAATATTCTTAGTGTAAAAGAGACCTATATCGCGTATTGAGGATAAAAATGTCATATCTTCTAAAAGTATTTTATTCTATGCTGTATATAGAAGAAATTGTGAAGTACATAACTAGAAGAAAGTTACTGTTAAAAGTGGAGAATACCTAAGTTGTCTAATACAAAAAAGGTTTTTATTTAATTTTTTCACGCATACACAATTCTGATTAGTGCTATGAGTTACATTGTGGTGTTCATGTATTTCAATGTATTTTTGTATTCAGCCGCTTAATTTGTATTGCTTTTTTTGTATTGATGTAACTGCAGTACTTGTATTCATGGTGTCTATATGACATTTTTAACAAAAAAATTAAAAAGGGTACAGTTAAAGTCTGGTGATGACTGTGATGTTGACATGTTGGCAGCTAGTTCAGCATTGAGGGAAGAGCAGTGAGGGCGTCTGAAGGATGGAGGTGACTAAAACTGTTGGTTTTAGTGCAGCAGCTACACTGCTTTGCAGTCAGATGGTAGTAGTGGGTTTTTAAATTAATCTTGTACTGAACCCCAGTGGAGATGGTTTGCTCAGACTGCTGATTTGGAGAGGGTCGTCATTGTTCTCCTACTACAGTTACCAGCATCACTATGAGAAATGTCATGCATGTTCTTTAATTTCTGAAGATGTTGCATGCCAAGAGCACAACTGTCCTCAAAGCCTCTCTTGTTTTGCCTTTTGGGTTGCTTTTTATCTAGAGGAAATGTAGTCATACCTAGCTAGCTATGTTTACAATAAAAATTTGCCGTCTGCTCAATTGCCATCTGGTTCCCGCCCACTTGGAATGTTTCTTTGCATTAAGTCTCTTCCTTGGTGGACTTTTTCCTCTTTGTTTCTGTTTGTTGGCCCAAGTAATGCTTATGACTGGTACGGTACAGTGTTTATCCCAAATTCTGAGGTTTTGGTTTCTTGTGCCTGTGAGACAAACAGGCAAGAATACGAGCGTCTTGCACTGGGGAGCAGAGCTTAGATGAACCCAGGGAAGCTCTTGACTTCTACATGTGCAAAACATGGCCAAGGAGACATCCCTTGAAAGCAATACTGGTTTCAGTTTGCCTTCCTAATTTCCCAGACAGTAAATGGTATTAATTTTATGATATTTTGAATTGTGCTCACTCAAAAGAATTGAAAACTAGATAACAAGACATAAACTTGGTTGTTATTTTGGAACTTAATTATTTACTATTTCTTCATCTGGGGACAAATTTGGCTGATAAAGAACTTCATCAAAAAAACAAGCCAGCAGAAGTGGACAACAGGGAAAAATAGAAATAGTTTGGAAACAACACATGGACTGGTAAGGGAACAAAAAGAAAAAAATGACAGTATTGAAGCAAAGATGTGTGGCTTCACATTTAGGTGTGGAAAGTGCTCGTAACGCTAACCTGAGGTTACACCTTGCAGTGTAGTGATGACATCATCACTGAATTGGTTTCTCTGTGTTTTTTTGAAAGTACTGGAAAAATAAGAGTCAAAGGAAAAGCTTTGATACCAAGAGCAAAATGGCATACCTTACAACTGAGGTACCTGAAGGATCTGAGGTGGTTTGCCATCGCTCTGGTTATGGACCCATTTTGGAGTTGCAGGGGGTGTGTTCTGGTAGGGGGACGCAGAGCGCTGGCTTCTAGCCTTGGAGATCCACTGTCATCTCAATATCTTTAATACAATACAGGTCTTTATTTTGGAAAAGAAGGGGTGCAAAGTAAGGAGGAAATGTCGTTTGGAAGGGGCCAGCTAGTCCTTGCAGTCTGTTGTCTCCATGTGTAACCACCTCCTTCCTTCCTTCTTCCCAGATCCAGCCGTGCCCAGGCAGCAGGTCCCTGTGTTGCCTCCCCAGCTACAGCGTGAGGGTCTGCAGGCTGCTGCTTGGTTCCTCCATCCACCTGTGCTCCCTGGTTTATTTGTTGCAGATTTCTTCCCCGAGTCTACGCTCGCTCTGGTGTGCCCGCTGCTGTTACTGCGCTGTCTTGAAACCTGGAGGAGATTCCCTGCTACAGTGCAAGTACTAAACTACCTGAGAGGGAGGAGATTCCCTGCTACAGTGCAAGTACTAAACTACCTGACAGGGGAAAGGCATTGCTTGGGATCATCGAGTCCAACCATCTCCCCTACTCTACAAAGTCCTCCCCTACACCATATCCCTCAGTACCACATCTAAGACATTGGGGAAAGGCATCGGGGTGCCAGAGGTGGCAGGAAGGTGTGTGTGGGACAGTCTCACCACATCAAGGTGGGCTGGAAGGGGCTGCAGGTCTGATCTGCTGTGTGGATTGATTCTCTTTTCGCAGGGGAGGTTTGTTTCTGTCTCTTCCACAAGTGCAAAGAGCAGCGTTTCCCTTGGACACTTGCAATTCATGCCCCTGAGATTGTGAAGCACGGCTGTGGAGAGCAGGAGCAGCTGGTGTCGTTGGTCCTGGGTGCTCTGGTAGCCTGTAGCTGTGAGGTGGGTGATACCAGCATTGAATGTTTTACTCTGGGTAAAAGAGAGTTCTGGGGCTGAGAGGGGTTTTGGGAGAAAAGTCTCAATTTCTCTGCAGGATCTGCCGAGTCAGGAGCAGCAGGTGAGACAGAATGCTTCCCACTCTTGCTAGTCCTGGAGATGTGGAGGAGTAAAATGTTTGTCTCTGATCTCGTCTGCTCTCTGTGCTTCAGAAAGACTGATCATTCCTAAATCACCACCTGGTGTTTGCTGCCCCATGATAAACATACTGCTAGGGAGATTTCTAACCTCACTAGGTAGCCTGGTTTAATATTTTTCTACCATGATGAAAAGACTCTCACATAAATCCTTTATATTGCAATATAAATACATTTATTCTTGCAATGTTGAGAATACTTAATTAAAGTCCTGGTTTACATTTCAAAAATCAGTGATCCTGTCCCTCAGCCTTCCTGCACATTCAGTTCTTTCCTCCAGCTTTCGCAGTGCCTTTTTCATGTTCTCCTCTGAGTTCCTATTTTACATATGGACTCCAACCTGTGCACTGGATCCTCTGCAGGATTATATGTCTCTGGCTGCCCTTCCTGTGCAGCATTTAGGATTGCTACCTTTAGAAGAAAAGGTGACAGTTGCTAAAAAGGTGATGGTTGAAAAAAAGTTTGATAGTGTGCTAAAGATCAGGGCCTGAGAAAGACCTCCCAGGTCTGAGGCTGTCTTGTGCTGGAGATGAGCAATTCAGTCATTTACAGAACTCCCTGATCCTCACATCCACCCAGATTTGCTGGTGCTGCTACAAGCGTGTTCCTACATCCTTCTGTTCACATCTTGGGTGCTGAGGAACACAGAGGAACTAACAGTTATTGAAAGAAACATGATGAAGGTACCTCATCAAATGCTATCTTTCCTATAGCAATGTTTGCCAAAGAAAAGAAAAAAAAAAAGCCTGATTGACTACAAAGAGCCAGAGCTGGCTCACAGCTGTAGGAGGGTGTGTATTATACAAATATAAAGAATTGTAGACCTACTTGGTGGCTGTTGACTCAAGAATAATGGTTTCAGAGTGACTCCTGTGCCAGGTAACAAAGATTGGCAAATGATATTTTACCAAACAGGAAACTCTGTGCCTTCCCTTTGACTGAGTCTTAAAGCTCTTCCCCAGCTCCTGTGTCCTCTGTGGCTTGGTATCACATCTTATTACTCAACTTCCAGTGCCATCTGGACGAGAGGCCTCTCAGGAAGTACACTAGCGTGTGGCATCATTTTATTCATCTCTTCGTTCCGTGGCCAAAAGGAAGCAGTGTCTCTGCAGCGTGGAGTCTCCCACAGGAGGAGCAGCCAGCACACAACAGCCTTTTCAGGCTTTGCACTCTCAGCCCTCCTGCAAGGCCAGTTAGCCATGCAGCTCCCCTCTAACAGAAACCCCTTCCTGGTTTTACAGGTGGAGATCCATAATTGTATGTCCTTTAACAGGTTTTAGATGCTTGGTCTGAGGTGACTGTTCTTGCACCATCGCTGTCAGGGTGGGTTCAGCCCTTGCCTGAGTCTTGCGGAGCCCTAAATCATCCCTGTCTGAGTTTAAAGACTCCTTGGCTCTATGCCACAACAGAGTTTTTCTCCAATGCATGCAGAAAGCAGCTACTTCTTCTTCTTCGGAGTCAGGCAGGGGCTGTCGCAAACCCTATTAGACAAAATATTTACAAGCTTTAATATATTGTTGTACATTAAATTGTTTAAAATATCTTAAATGATATGAAAGTCTGAATGTATCAATGAGAGTGCGACCAATGTGTCACCTCTACCTGTTAATGCTTAAAATGCTTAAAAGCCTGCTTACAGAAGGATAAAATGAAGACAGTATAGTTTATTGATAAGCAGGGAAATTTCCAAAGGGAAGAAGCCAGGTCATAAAGGACTTAGTGATCTAGACAATCAAAATAAAAGAATGGTTAGTTACTTCAGGCTGACATCAGCAAAGCCAAAAATGGACATATATAGTATCTTTGAACAGATTTGTGGCAATTAACCACAGGAGGAGCTTTTAAAAATGGACATATATAGTATCTTTGAACAGTATGGGCAATTAACCACAAGAGGAGCTTTGCCACCCTTGTTCAGATCGTTCATCAAATAGGATTCTAATCAAAGCCATGTCTCTTTCAAGATGATGTGCTGGAGCTCAGCAAAAGTTGTAGGATTATAAAGGAGGCCAAGGCACACAATGAAAAACTGCATCAGTGGAGAGGTTGTATTTGCACTAATTTTCTGAGTGCTTTCACATAAAGTCTGTTCTCACAAATTATTTACAGTTGGATCAATCAGCAGTTGGCAGCTGCCAGGGAATTACTTGGGAGTTTTGATCAAAGCTCATCTTGAGACAACATAAAGGCTAACACTGACATGGACTATTTTCAAATTGAGGCCTCCAGAGAGATGGTGCTGCTCTCCTATCCAAAAATGAAATGGGAAATGGACCAGCTAAAGACAACTCCAGAGTTGGTAGCACCGACAGAGCAGACTCAATGCCTGGAAAGATGCACAGTGAGCTTTGGAAACAAAGCAGAAAGGCATGAAATAAGAACATCACAGTGAGAATCCACCCCCAGCTGGAGTCACAGGGGTCCCCAGGCAGCCAGCTCTCACCTCCCATCCCCAGCCTTGGCTGTAGGAGCTCCCCACAGCACGGGCTCACCTTGCAAAACGTGTTTGATGCCATCGGCGTTAACTTACCTTGATACACGCTGCCTCAGCTGCCTTCAGAACATGCAAAACTGCTTGAATGAGGTTCTGCGCGTTGCTCACAAGCAGCTCAGAAGAGGACTTGCTCTCTGCAGTGACTGCTTTCACCCTTAAAAGACATTTTAAAGGATTTACTGGAAGAGCATCAGACAGCATGCCTCCCCTTTGTGGCCAGAACGCTGTCAGTTACTTCAAAACCAGAAGATTGTCCCGTGGACTATCAGAGCAGTTTTCCATAGATGCAGGCAAACCAGGGGAGGAAGGGGGTGTTCACAGCAGCAGGAAGAGGAGAGGGAGCCCCCTGAATTGGAACTGAACACTACACTCTACGTGCTGATCTAAGAAGAACATCTGGAGACCACTGTGCACATCTCTTTGTGAAGGGGGGCACCAGCCTTGGGAGAGATTGTCCTTGACCCCAGCAACTCACCTGGCCACGATGCTGAGCTGGCTGCTGATGGTGTGGGTGTGCTCTGCAGCACACAGCAGCTCTGTGGAGCATCTCCTGTCCAGGCAGTGCTTCGCAACGATGTGGCCAAATTTAACAAACACCTGGCCATCAGAAGCCATTTGCCTCGCACAGGCAACAAGCTGGTCCTTGCTCTAAAAGAAAATAGAAATACACGTGTTTGGGGAGAGAAGGAGAAAAAAGACCACCTTTCCTGCAGAACAGGAGCGTCCAGGAAGGCCAGATGTATTCTGAAACAAGGAAAGGACCGGGCACCAGGTTCACATCCAATCAAGAGGAAGTAATTTCTATTGCTTTGCATAAATGCAGCCAGTGCCACCCTTAGAAGAGCAGGGTACTGCAGGGCTTTCAGCAGGTGCTGGGCAGCCCCGTCACTGGCTTTGACTTGGGCTCTTAAGGAAAACATATTTTCTTTATGCTTATTAAAGTGTCGGGGTGGAGGGGATGAAACACTCCATACCATGATGGGACCCTTCTTCCTCAGGAACTGAGTCATGTGAAGCATCCTTGTTGCCATGTCCTTGGTGACCTGGGACATCTTACTAGGGTCACCCTTCCATGTGTCTCTGTTTTCTCTCTCGTGCTTCACAGGGCTGCTGGCAGGGGAGACGCTGGGAGGACTGCTCTTGTGCTGTTGAGACAGTAACTGAACAGATTTTAAGCCTAGAGTGATACTGAGAAGTCTCTGTCTGTGTGTTTCTGAAGCAGTTTTTGGTGAGTAAAGGAGATGGGAGAGCTGCCCACCACCTTGCGGGGTCTGCTCTGCCTTCCCAACCAGACCTTCTCTCCTCCATCCCCTGCACAGTGGGACTATCAAATTCCAATTCCCCATCCCATCATCTCCTGGAGCTATCTCCAAATGGGTGGTAGTGTCATGTGAGCTGACGGTGCTCACTGTTGAGAAGTACAATTAAGTGCTGTAAACGACTGTGCTGAGTGATCTGGATCATGTACTGAAGCCTTTGCCAGCTCCTGGCATCCAAAAGCAGTTGTGGGAGCGGAGCTGCTGGTACTCCCAAAGGGTGCTTGTGGGGAGGTAAGGAGCTGAGCACAGCAGGGTAATGTTTCAGGGGAGGGAGAGCAGTACAGCCCTCTGCTCCTCACAAACAGCACTTTGGAGATGACTTTATTTACAGAGTGTCTGTCAGATCATATGTCCAGAACTCAGCTGAATAGGGCAGCCAGCAACCTGATCTAACTGAAGGTGGCCAGAGGGTTGGACTGTTGACCTCCAGAGGTCCCTGCCAATATCACTTACCTTAGTGCTCCGTGGTGTGGGTAACAGGGCTGTCGGACAGCCCCGACTGTCACCCTGCAGTAAGAGTTGATGGGGGGAAAAAGCTACTGTACCATTTCATGTACTGTACCAGCTCCACCTCCTCCTCTGCTCCTGCTTGGGCAAGTTTCTGCTGACTTGGCATGGCTCAGAGCATGAAGCTCTCGGGCTGGGAAGAGCTTCGCTGGGCTGTTGTGTCGTCGTGGAAGGTGCTGGTCCTCTGTGTTCTGCAAGTGTTGTCTCATGAGCTGCAGGACGTGTTCATCGATGCCCTGGACAGCCTGCAGCTGTGTGATGAGGTAGTGGGCCTTTGCTGACCAGTACCAGACAATACTGTCTAGGTGAAGATGAGCTTTGTCCTGGTGGCTGTTGAACAGCTGGCTGGCGCTGCCCACTGCGTCAGACGTGAGGACCAGGAGGTGGTCTGCGATGGAGAGCAGGTTTGCCTGCGATTGCAATTGAGCACTGGACTCCAGGATGTCTTGGAGGGTGGTTTTGACCCACTGAACGTTGGCCATTAACCGACTTGCCTTCTCTTCAAAGGCCTCTTTTCTCCTCTCCCCGTCCTCTTGAGGGGTAGAGGACAGGGCTGGTCCAACGACATCGCGGATGACCTGCAGGTGTTTGGTATTGACCTTCTCCAGGTGGAGCAATAAGGCCTTGGCCCTGAGGGCCAGGTCTCTCTGCAGAAGCTCAAAGCGAACGTACAAGCTGGCAGTAGACAGCGGGGAGACCGAGAGGGTACTGGAGGCATCCAGCAGTGCTTCCACTAGCACCTTTATCTCCTCCCTGAGCACGAGGATTTCACTGCGACCACAGTCCTCAGGGCAGGACAGGTAAGAAAGCCGGGCGGCCTCCTGCAGCCTCAGAGAGTTCTCAGACACAGCAGCCAAGAGGCTCCGCAAGCAAAGCTCATTGTTCATGGCGCTCCTCAGCTCCCTCAGGAACAGGACGTCCCTGCCGATGAACTGATCCACAGAGCTCAGCAGGACGTGCATACTGATGGCCCACTGGAGACACTGCAGCTCCAGGCTGGCCTTTCCCACCCTGCAGGAGCCCTCAAAGGATGCTGCTTTCTCAAGTAACACTTTGTTGTTCCTCTGAGCACATGAAAACTTGGCTTGGACCTGTAGAAAGCTCTCCCAGACGTCAGGGGAAGTGGGATTTCCCTTACTACGGGCCGTGCTTGCAATGCCTTCTGCTAACTGAACCATTCCTGCTAAACCCACCATGGTCTCGTCCAAAGCCTGTTTGCTGCTCAGGAAGTCAGCAGACAAGATAAAGCCAAGTACCTGCTGAGACAGACTATACCAAGAGCCTGACATGGCTGCCAGGCACTCTTGTGTCTTACAGATCCCTTCGGAGAGCGTGAGTGCCATTTGAAGAAGCCTGCCTGGACAGCAAAGCCGCCTTGAGGCTGTTTCCCTGGCCAGACTAACAACACATGGTGTCAACAACACCATCTTCTGGTACTGCCCCAGTGTCTCCATCTGGGGAGACTCAGCAACAGGCAGTGCCTCCTTTGCAGCTTCGACAGAGCTGTTGGAGAGCTCAAGCAAGGCGGCACAAGCAGCATTGACAGCTGCCATATCGTGGGCCCTCGTTGCTGCTAGGAGAGCTGTAATGACAGGGTGCACATCTCCTTTCCTTGGAATGGCATCCAGGTGTAAATTATCTGCTTGTGGAGACGGATGGCTTAAGATGTCTTCTTGCAATGCAGCCTCATCCATCATGTTTTTTAGCCCAGCACGGGATGGGTGGAGTTCAAGTGCCCTTGAAGCATCAGTGCTTCTCACTTGTTCTCGGAGAGGGCTGAGGATCTCTGGGTGGTTGGACCCATCCAGCCCATCTCGGACATGGTGAGCAGAATCCATCAGGCAGCTCGCTACCTTTGAAAAGATATCCCTAGTTTGGAGGCAGGAGATTCTCTCTGGACAAGGGGCTGTGACCGCTTTCAGCTCAAGGATGGAGGTGGCCAGTTGCTCAACCCAAACCAGCAAGCCATTCCTGAAAATGGGGTCTGTGGCTCTGTCCACATACCTGGTGGTAGCTTCAACCACCCACCGAGCCCAACTGATGAGGCGAGTTGCGTGCCAAGAGAGCCCCTCGGGGTCCTCACTTTCCAGGGCCTTTTCACACCATTCCTTGTGCTTGGCCATTTCCTGGACAGACAGCGTAAGGAATTCACACATGCTGACTGTCTCCTCAAAACACCGCAAGAGGCTTTCTGTTGTTCCAGCCCATGTGTGGTGCAAGGACTGCAGTTGCTCAGCAGCTCTCATCTGGGCTGTGTTTCTGCTCATTTCTGTAAGCAGCGGAGGGAGACTGGCAAGGAGTCTCTTCAAATACTCTACCCACTCTCCAATTTCTCTAGCAGTTTGCGTTTTGGTGCACCTTGCCAGAACAAAGTCTGCCACTCTGAGCATCTGCTGGGCATGTGTGAAGAAGGTGGCAACGAGGGGCTGAAGTTTCTTTAAAAATCCTCCTTGTCCTGCTGGAAAACACCCTGTACCAATAAGGCTAAGGGCATCTTCAACTAACTGCCTCAGGGGCTCCTTACCCACAAAGAAGGTGTCAAGGATTTGGCACAGAGTAGCTGTGAGCACTGCCTGGTCGAGAGTCTCTACCTCTTCTCTCATGGTGTGCAATTCCTTCTCCAGACTGCTTTCTCCCCAGCTTTGCCCTGACCACCCTTTCTCCTGGCTTACATGGCTGCAGATGCTCTTCCTCAGCTGTAGCAGAACCCAGCAATGCTTTACCAGGTCCAGCTTCAGATCTGACCTGGATGAGTCTGCCAGAAGCATGCAGTAGAAAACGACTGCTTCCACGTGAGCGCTGAGCTCACTGTCAGAGAGCTGCACTGGGTCTGGGGAAGAGAGGAGAGCCAGCAGCCTGCTCACGTGCTGGGAGAAGGTCCCGCTTCTGTCCCATGGCTCCCTTCTGACTGTATTGTCGACGAGCAGGGAAGTGAGCTCTTTGATGGTGCTCTCCATTAGCTGGAAAGCATAATCTTTGGACAGGTTGGCTCGCTGACCCCAGGAGCGTTTAAGATCGCTGTGCTTGGCTGCGTGGAGCAAAGGAATGCACTTGTGAAGCAGCTGCAAAGTTTGGGCCAAGCTCTTCTGTTGAGGACAATCTCCAAGTTCCTCGAGGTGCTTTGCTGTCAGATTGCTCAGCAGAAGCAAGGCCTCTGAAAAGGTCCAGAAAGCAGCCAGCAGTCCTGGCATATCCCCTGCATCCCGCAGCACACTCAGGCACTCCAAAAGCCAGCTGGCAGCCTGAATTATCCTCCTCGTCCCAGCAGCATCTTCAATCTGAAGGATCTAACCAGGAAGAAAAAAACAACAGAAAAACCAGTCAGAGTGGTAAGGCGCAAGAACCCCTGTTCACTATTTTTTCCCAAGCTGACACCCCAGCCCTTGGAGGGAAGCAAGGAGATGTGTGACCTGCCCTAGTGAGCACACGGTGAAGAAACGACCATTGCTCCAGCTAGAGCTTCCCTCAAACCCCACCCCAAGTCCTGGTGGAGGAGCTCTTGTCCCTCCAACAGCTGCAGTTTTAACCCACTGCTGCGTCCCGGCCCAACACCTTTCCCTGCTCCTGCCAGCATTAACCCCCTCCATTGTTACCTTCACTGTCTCTGTTAAGACCCTCTTTGCCGACACAGCCAGCTCCTCTCTGTGGCCAGGGTTGTCTGGCTGCACCTGGAGCTTCTGGGCTACCAGCAGAACGCACCTCCCGGCTTGGACAAGGGACTGGGCTGCAGGATGCATCTCCTCTTTGAACACCTCATCGCTGGACTCCTCAGCCAACCTGGAACAGAAACCGCTGGGCTCAGCTCTCCACCATCCTGTGAGTACCAGCCTTGGCAGACAGCATGTGCTGTTCCTGGGCTTTATCGCAACAATTAGCCACACCTGACCTTAATTGGGCTTGAATTGATTTTAGCCCTGTTTGCAAACTGTTTAAGAACCTTTTGCAGCGACTGCAGTTCACTTTAAGACACGGTGTCTGCTATCTGCCCTAGCTGTAACAGCCAAATAACCCAGCAGCCAGTGCCTAATCTGTGGGTTTGGGCTCCAGTTTACGGAAGCGTTCAGTAAATTCACTCAAGCATTTGGTCAATTGCCCAATGATTATTTTAAGATGTCTTAAGGTTAAATATTGCTTGTTGAGGTATTGCTTCGCCATGTCCCTTCCGAGCACATATCCCTGCTTTCTCCCGTCTCTCCTTTTCCCTTCCCAATCCTGTTCCCCCTCTCATGTTCTCCATCCCTTCCTCCTCCCGTTCCCACCTTCAGCAAGGTGCAGGCAGGGAGCACCAGGCAGGAGAGGCAGGCTCCCTGCCAGTTCCTTTGCTATCCCTTCCTCCTCCTTCCCAGCCCCCAAATCTGCCCAGGAGCTGCCCAGCACACTCACCTTCTTGCAACAGAAGCGAGTTCCCCTGTGGCTTTGGATAATATTTCCGCATTGTCCCCTAAATTGGGAAAGGCCTGACAGATCCCATCTTCCCATTCCAGGGCGAGGATCAGATGGCAGAGCTGTGCTGCCATGGGGCAGAGGATCCTTTGAATAGCTTTGTTTTCTGTTAGGAGCCCAAGGTCATAGAGATAAAACGGCTCCATTGTGTCCTGCCTGGAAAAGGGAAACAAAACCTGGGATGAGCTGGGATCCTTCGCAGTGTGTAGCTGTTATCAGTTTTCCCCGTGACCTTGGATTTGGATGGCAGCTTCTGGCTTTGGGAGGGAGTAAACCCAGTAGTGTTCCAGCCCTGCAACGGGGTCAGCACCTTGTTTTTGCCCCAGCTTTCCTTCCCTGGCTCCACAGCCTGGCTTTGCTAGGCTCCAAGGCCCGGCTGTGCTTCAGGGGTGCCCCAGACCCGTCCCACAGTCCTGAATTCACACCCAGTTGGCTCCCATCCTTATGTCAGCCCAGCTATTTCCTTACCTGCTCCTGCAGAGGGGCGCTGGGGACGGGCTGTTCCCTGCAGCGAGACCCGGTGACAGTGATGGCAATGGTGATGGTACCTGTTAGCACCCAGCTGTTGGTGGGGAAATGGGGGTGCCCGCGCCACTGCGGGCCTGTGCCCATGCAGACAGCTCCTGGGCAGGGATCGGAACCCACGGGAGGCGGGTGTGATTAATTACACCTTGATTACCATAACTGGGTTCCTGTTGCAGACAGGGTGGAAGGCAAGCACCTGCTGCTGACCCGCGTGGGGCTGCAGGGAGCAGCGGCAGGCTGGTAGCTGGCACCCCGCGGGCATCCCTCCAGCTCTCCCGAGGCCGGGGATGTTATCGGGGCCCAAGGGCCGCCTCAGCCCGGGGGGTGCTCCCCCGGGGGGGGGG